AAGGGATTGATACCCATTGTGAGCATCCTGGGCATTGTTCAGAGAAAGCACCTGCACAAAGACAACCTCTGCAGTGCTTGTACAAGTCATAAATTAGGGACCAGCAGAGTAACTAGTCCTGACTTTCCTTCCCTCAAGCCAAGCAGGATCACAGAATGGCTCTGCTGGGAAGGGACCTGTGGGGACAATCTGCTACAAAGCCCTGTCCAAGCAGGGACATATACTGTCCATAGTCCAGGACTGTTTCCAGATGGCTTTTGAGTATTTCCAAGTATGGCAACAACATAAGTTTTTTAAAAACTTCTATTAATAGTAAATATTTTTTAAACTACAGGTTTTTACTCATCTCTCACTTTGCAAAAGAGCCCAACATCAGAACCTAAAGGACTGATTCTGCACTTAATTTTGTGAGGTCATATGTAAAACACATAACAAGTCCTATCTGCTACCTAAGCAAGTTTAAAACAAAAAAGTGTAAACCATGCTAACAGGTTGACATTCAGTCACTGTGGATTTCTTTTTTTATGTGTCTGGCTACATTTTGAAAACATATATTATCTGATATTAAGTCAAAACAGGGAAGCAGAATGTAATGTTTTATGGAACTATAAATTGATCAAGCCAAACAAAAAAAATATAACCGCATACCTCTGAATTACATATTAAAGAAGATCTATCTCAAAAACCACAAAATCCCCACCCAAAAAAATGTAGTAAACTTCATTTCATAATGAAGGAATCTCACACTTCAAAAACAATGAAAATTGATTCTCCTTAAACACACTCCAGAGGAAGAGGTCTGCTCTCTCACACCACAGTGACAATCACAGTTCAGCACAAGTGCATGTCACACACTGGAAGACACATTTGTTCCTCATATGATCCCATCAAATGCAATCCACCAAGTTTATTTTGACCTACCTTACTTATTTGGGCTTCAGTGCTACCTCTGGAACCCAGCAAAACCATAGACAAAGCAGAAGAAATACTAAATGGTGAAAAGAACACATTCTGCCCACTTTTCTTCTCACACAGCTTTCTTAAGAGGTCTACAGCAAAAGCGCTGTTTGCTGCACAGAGACTTTCCATGCTTCCCAGCCTGGGACATAAAACACAGAACAAGAATGATTCAAATCCATTTGAATAAAAATCACTCGTCTCTCTTTTACACTTCTAAGCATAAACTAGGCAGCAAAGGTTGGGAAATTATCAGCTCACTGGAGACTGATTTGGTGCTTCAAGCATCTGAGATCCTATACTACACATTTGAGTTATTTCTGCAATTTACAGTCTGCTACTGGACTTCAATCCCATACCTACACAGCGTGACATATTTTGAGGTGATCAGGCACAAGAGCATTTTGTTCAGGACTTCCTGAAAGAAGTTTCTCTTGACTTCACACAGAAAATAATTTCCCTTTATTACTCCACCAGATCCAAAGTTAGACATCAGAACACTAGATAAACCAACTCTTACCTTCTCTAAGTCTACAGGCTTTCAGTGGTATCTGCAGCTTGCTTCTATGTGTGCACACTGGGTTTTAAACCTGCCAGCCAGGCTGGGAGAAGACAGCAGAATGACTTGGCCTACTAGATAAAAGAAGAAAAAAAATTATTTCACCTGCCAGCATGACAGGTGACTGCAATTTCCTGCTGAATTACACAGGAAAAAAATCAAAGTTCATTTTCTTTCCATTTTATTGCCTGCAGCATGGCAACGCCCACAATCAAACTGTCATACTCGGTATACATCTGCTATAGGCAGTGAATCTGAGATTAAACACCACACCTATTAAATGAGCAATAAGTACTAGAACACCGAGTTAACCACAGATAAGTACAGATAAGTATCTAAGTCATCATAAAATAAATGCTGATCGTTTTTACTATCTCTGTGTTTTGTTCTTCCCTTTAGGCAGGGCCTAGTGTTGACATGTTGCTACCAAATACAAAACCACCTTTAATTCATACTACTGATTCATTATCTTGGACAGAGAGTTGAAAAGAGCAAGTTTCCACATGCATGCTTTTCAAACCAAGAAAATTCCTTGCTAGCAGCTTTACTATAAATAGTAGCAATTTTATCCTATTTTTCTTTGCCCATAACTTGAAAAAAGTACAACCAAAAAACAAGAAC